CTCGATAGAGTTAATCTAGTCGGTCTAGTTACCGCGAGTATTAAGTATCGGGAGATTATAATCTTTAATCGATATAATAAGTAATTCTTTCTTTTCTACGTACTAGTTTTCGTCTTTCGACTGTTAGGATCCCCTTTCGTTCTTAAACCTCTATCTTGATAATATAGTAATACTATTACTTTTTCTCTAACCCCGCTTTTGCGGAAACGCCGGATTATAATTATATAACTCGATAGCGGATACTAAATTTATAGAAGAAAATACTACTACGATAAGTCCTTGTAGCTAGTAATACTGTATAGCACAAGGAAGTGTCTCCGGGCTCATAACTGATACAAGATAGGGATAAAAGTGGGTACTGATAAAAGGCAGTGATGTTGTTGTTGTTGTCTAAGTCCGCGGCCGGGTGGACCGGGCTTAACTATCTAGTGTCTTAGCAAGCGTGCTCTGCACTCTCGACTGGTGTTCCCAAAGTGCCTTAGCCTGCGACACTCTCCTAGAGGCGATGTAATTTAGCACCGCTCTAAAAGGCCGCGCGGCCACTTTCTACTTATCAGCCTCAAAGAAAGATCTCCAATGCTTGTAAGCGATGCTGCCTCTCAAGTAGATCTTAAGTGATCTTGACTAGCTTTCCTGGAAGCGATGTTACACTTGCTTGAGCACCGGTCTTAGGAAAAACAACTTTACTTCGACGCCAACAAATACCACAAACTACGTGGGCTCTAGGACAGACATTTATTCGACCTGATTTCCTTCATGATTCTTCCCCAACAGTTCAGCTCTTCTCAATCAGTCGTCACCGTACGATCCCAGCAGCATCACCTTCTGGTCGACCTTGTCAATTTGCTACTTCCAAGATGAAGTTCGTCTTTCTCGCTTTAGCATGCCTAACATTCCTCGCGGTGGCGCAAATTGAGTGCTCCTGTCCTAATGGGGGAGCCGCAGGAGGCCCAGCTTGCGGTTGCAACTCAAACGCCAGCTGCTTCTGCGAAAGGGAAAGCGACGACCTGCCTGTCGCAACCGAGTGCTCAGGCCTTGGCAGTTGCGGCTGCCCAAGCGACCAGAACGGTCACTAAGATATGGTCCTTTTCACTCTTGCACTGCGTGATTGAGTTTTACTTACACTGTGTAGTTGAACGAACAACCCCGCCGCCGCCCCCGAAGATGTTCTAAGAACACAGATCATAGTACGAAGTTGCTATTTGCCGAGCTGTATACAAGTTGCCGAGCTGTATATAAGTTGCCGAGCCAATGGAGCCTGGTCGTACTCCGGTACATCAAAACAGCAAAGTACATATAATCAGCAAAGCAATGATTTGGTGGGGCTTGGGTCTGTGGGTAGGCCATGGCGATGTTGGAAGGACGCTCATTACTTGGCTATGAAATGAATTAAGCCACTTTATATTTTGAATCAGTACGATTTGTCTGTCCTTTGCAAATGCCTTATATTCTCGTCGAGAGAGCGCTGAAAGAAGACGGAAAGCCGGCCTTATTTCTCAAGATAGGTTTATATTCGTGTTACTTTGACGCCTAGTAAAACCTCTGCATTTTTGAATGCAATCTTCTCAGTTCCTTCTTGGTCCACTAGATCGCTCGCTATAAGATTTTGCATCCACAGCTTGCCGTTCTTATTGGGTGCGAATGGGTAGTCGATGCTGAACATAATTCGGTCAATAGAGGTGTTCCTAAGAATCATCGCCAAAGGGTCGATACTCCACACTCCGCTAGTTGTGATCCACATGTTCTTGCTCCAAACGTCCTTAAACATTCGTCCAGTCTTCTTCCATCGCCGGCAGAAAAGGTCAATCCTATCTAGCATGAATGGGATCATCTCGCCGAAATGCCCGAGGACTATTTTGAGGTTGGGAAACCGATCGAAGACACCCGCAGAGAACAGTTTGATAATATGCAAAGCGACATCGGAATGCCAACCCCAGGTGGAAGTAGACAAGCCAAAAATAGCACCTGAAGACCTGTTCTCGTCGTTGAATTCGACCTCCATCTGTGCCTGTGACGGCCAGGTGGGGTGGATATAGCAGGGAACGTCCAACTCCTGGAAGGCTCCCCACATAGGCTCGTAATCTTTTCCAGTGAAATAATGGCCCTGCTCAGTATGGTTGTCGATCAGAGCGCCCTTGAAGCCCAAATCATTCACGCAACGACGCAGCTCCTTAGCACAGCTCCTCGGGTCACTCACAGGCAGAACCGCAAGGGCAGCGAGGCGGTGTGGGTTGGCCTTGACAGCCTCGTATGCCTGGTCGTTGGCGGCCTTGCACTGCTCGTGGGAGTGAAGTCCAGGCGCGTGTGAGATGACTTGCATTGAGATACCATTGGTGTCCATGTCGATGATACGACCGCCGGACAGATCGCCCAGCTGCTGGCTTAATGCCCTATTGAGTGCCGCATGTGGAGCGTACATTCTCAAATAAGATTCAGAATCCAAGAAGTTGGCGGAGAGGTAATGCTCCTCCAGAGCGATCATAGGTTGAAGGTCTGTGGTCATCTTGCGTACCATTGTCCTGATGCTGACGGCACTCTTGAGCTCAGCGGAAGTGGAAGCGGAAGCCGGTAAAAGAGGAGACGATTCGGGCATGGGATGCGATTGTTCGGCTGCGAACTCAACTTGTTATTGCTGTCAGCCTGGTGGCACACCTCCAGTATGGGGGGTTGTAGGTTTTTAGGCCACCATCTTAGCTGCGAGCAGCAAATGGTGCCGGCGGCCGGAGCTGGTGCTGCACCTTCCGCTCATGCATGCTGTTCGGAATGGATGTTCCAACCGCAACAGTCTTCAACACTACAATTGCACGTCACTCGAACACTTGGGGCTTTTGATGCGCTGTGACTGTGGACCTGCCAACATGACTGCGAAGTCATCCAAGTTCCAGCCGTTCACCTTGACGCTTTCCAATTCTGCCACTCTTTCTGGCATCGTTTACATTCCAACCCAATCGCAATTCGCGAGCCCCTCTCGACCGCTTCTCGTGCTCTGTCACGGGGGGCGTTGTCACGCAGGATGCTACGATGTCAACAAAGACCACAGTGCCGCCGAGAGTGCCGAGGCGTTTTCGATTCCTGTAGTTTCTATCAATCGACCTTGCTACCAGCAGACATCCTCAATTTTCCCGATTCCCAGCGGCAGCTCATTCCACAAGAAGACGGGACGATGGGAGCATGAATACATCTTTCCAGCACTCTGGGAGAAGTACGGCGTGCCAAATCACTGCACAGCCCTTGTTGCCATGGGCCACAGCCTGGCTACGCCTGGCTTACTGGTTGCAGCATCCTTGCAGTCTCAAAGCCCTACACCGACTTATCCCCTGGCCGGGCTGATACTCTCCGGGTGGGGCGTTTCACCGCGAATGCAGAATCAACAAGCAAGACTCAAATGGAGTGCTGAAGAAAATGAAGCAAACAGGCATCTTCTAATGTTCAGTGAGCCGGCGCTGAATGCAGCAGAAGCCAGCATGAAAGCACATCTGCCAGAGCAGACAGTGCAATCACCGGGTGAGGAGGCTCAGGAGTGCGTTGCTGGGCCGTGGTCAACATACTCTCCCGAAATCGCAGCCCATATAACAATGCCTGTCATGTTTGGACTCGGCGAACACGATTGGTTATGGGAGTGAACCCGGCAGCATGTTGCCGACTTCGAAGCTTTCTTTTCACGGTGTCCACGATTTGTCGGTAGTATAGTACCAGGAGCACCGCATGCTATCGAATGGAGTTACTCTTCACGTAGTTGGTACGCTCGGTCCATGGGCTTTGCTCTTAGCGTTGCTACTCTTCCATCAACAGATCTTTAAACGCAGGCAATATCTAGCCAAATATCTTTCGTACACTCTCATGCTCAATGGTCCTCTCGCCTTGTTCCTCAGGCTATCCGACCCTAGCTTTGTGAAGGGATCGTACTAAGACTCTGCGTGCTGCAGCCTGCAGGACTCGGCGGTTACCGGGAAAGGTTGCAGCTGACAAAAACTCGTCGAGGTCATTCTCTTGGTTCGAATGCCCGTTCAACAGCTTCCACTATTTGAGTCAGCTCTGCCTGCGCATAAGATCTCGATGTACACGGAATGTTCGGATAAGTGTTCTGTTGCATCGTTCGGGTCCTACACAGCATCCTTTCCGGTCGGAAAAGGTGCGAATACGGTGCTGGTGGTCTTCTTAGTTTGAAGATGCGGTGCTGCCTTGTCGAATAACATAGAGGCTGGTTGACGTGCTCTACTTTTTTGTTCTTGTATTACTGGGTGAAGGAACTTTAATCGATATGTCGGATGTGTTGAATAGTGAGGACAGGGTGATTTCCGCCTAATTGAGTGTCTCTCACGGCCTGTCACACTGCACAAGAGCCAAGCCGTGGCATTGACTTTCGGAGGCGGCCTGATCGCGGAATGGCGTTCCCGCAACAGAGAAAACCGCCTCGGAAACGGATTTGAGGGCAAGTGCTGCTTGTGCGTTTTCAAGTCACAGAACTATGGGAGAAGATGAATAGATTGCGTCGAGGGCTGCATCACAGATTTCCCCAACCCGCTGTCGTCTCAGAAGCAATTGCTGACCACACCAGGATGAAACTATCTGCTGTTCTCCTTTTTGGCCCTTGGGTCACGACCGCTTCACTGGTCAAACGTGGAGATCTTGCGCCTGCAGCCACGACCACTGATTCCGCCGCAGTCGCTTCAGCAACGCGAATCAGCGCACAGAACGCCACGTCCACAAATCTTGCTCCATACAATGGCAATTCGTCAGCCTATTATCTTGGTTATCGAGGTGAAGATTTTCAGAGGCCATTTGCAAAGCGAGTAACTCGAGCTCAACCCCCTAACCCCTGCTGACTTTCACCACTACGATTAGGTACTGGAACCCAACCATCGCCCCGCTATTTGATGAATTTCTTAACGGACTCGTAGCAAGTCCTTGGGCCAACGCCCTGGGTACGTGATGAGCCCTAAGACGTAAGAGTAGCAAATAACACTGGTCCTCAGCATACATCGCACACGAAGCACACGATTACTTCACTCGACCCGGATACGACACTCTTGAAAACGGTTTTACCATCACTGAAAACGGCACGGTGGTGATCGCCGTGCGCTCGGAGATCCCACAAAGTACACTCACCTTTCATCGTTTCTATTCGAAGGTTCGAAATTGACGAAGATTTGTTCGAAGTGACTGGCGAAAGTTTCGACTGGTGGTTCGCTTGGCACCAAACCGAGGCGGCGAGGTAGGTAGCACCTATATATCCCGAACGTGCTCTCACACTCGCTAATTGGCCATCAGATACAAGCTCTGGAATCCCGTCGCTCATGCATACGTCTGGAGAGTGCCTGAGCGCGTCGATGCCACTCGATCATATCGGGATCGTTGGATCAATCAACATCATACGTTGCTGAATACGTTGGCGAGGAATCCTCAAAGATAAGCATTGGCTTTATCCAGCCGGAGACGCTGGGTTTCAACCAAACGAGCTGGCCTGCGTTGGGCATCGAGACCATTGTAATGGGCCATATTCTGATCGGCAGTAAGTCAATTTTGTGCATCGGGGCAAGAGATTGGCTCATACCAACGTAACGACATATAGAGCACACTACGTCTGAGTGGGATGGCGAGTCATACCTCATGCATCAAGTACGCCGCCTGCCAAACGGCAATTGAGAAATGCGTTCGCGGTTCTGGATTGCAAAGAACAATCATGGCACAGCGCAGATTGGCCATGATCTTGCTGTGCACTGCAACATCGAGATGACGCGTGGGTCACACACAGCCTTGCATCTTTCAGGGGCAGTATAAGCTGACTTTTACAACTCTAGACCTCGGGGAGTTTCTGCCATCACTTTTTGAAGAATTCAAGGACACCTTGTAGCACGGAAAACGCGATGATGGTCTGCCTTTGGATCAGCTGTTTGGCCAGCCGCTTGATACTCATCATGCAGCACGGCAAGGCTGTTCTGTGGCATCACCAAGGCCAACGCATCTTCGTCTCTGAACTCAACAGGCGTCTATTCTTCAAAGTTCACATACATCGGATAGATTTATGTATGCCTTCATGAAACCCTCGGGATGTCATCCGCCTGCAACTCGTGCGATACTTGTTCTTCCATTTGAACTTGGAGATAGACACCAGCGAATTAACACTTCACAAAGGGGCTGATGAAACGACTCTGCCAGTACTCAAGTCAGCGGGTTGTTGGAACCGCATGTCGTAAAACAATGGAATGAAATCAGGCTCGAGCATGAGTTTGTGGCGTTCGTGAATCAGGTCACAGTGCGGCGGTGCTCACATAGGCCTACTGGGCAACTTCCACATGGTCACTCTGGCCTGCTCATCCGCCCAAAGTATACTGAATTCTTGGGAGATAGGCTAGTCAATGCATATGTTTGGCGTTGTCTGCATTGTGGGTAGACAAAACCAAATTTCGGACCTCTGGGTTTTTGATCCATCTTGAGCGAGTGCTATCGGAGCCTCCTCTGGTAGTACTCCCTTGATTGTACAGAATGAACGCTGTCTTGGCCAAAGTGTCTTCCAAAATCCCTATCAATCACGCTCCCTCCTAGTAAGTGATGGTAACACTGCGGTTTACGTACTCGCTTCTCAAACCCTCTTTCAAGCCTCTCTCAAACATCCATTTTCCGACATCCGCTCTCTGGATTGTGTATCCTACGGCTGGTGCATCCTCAGGTCCCTCCCTCACACCCCCTAAGCCCCTGCCTTCACCATCTAGAAGTAGACTGGGTTTAACATTCACAAAGGCTCTTATCCCCCTCTCCTTTTCTGCCTTGTTGATGTGTGCGGCGAATGCCGCTTCAAGAATGCTCTTGTCGACATGTGTAGCGTGCAAGCCGTACATATAGAATGGATAGAAGAGGAGCGGGACATCTCGCGGGCAACCTTTAGCGGGAATGCCAGTGGTGGACACGTTAAGGAGGAAGGGGCGCTGTGGAGCTGGCGTGGAAGTGTCGTTGGCAAGTTCGGTAGCCGCAGCCAGTATCGTCTTCCCAATGTCTTGACAAATCGTCGGATCCTCGAGCGTTATAGGATACCACAGATTCCACTGAAACTTCGGCGTCGAGCCCACGCCCGACACGATGTACGAGACCATGCCGCCTGAGGGCGCCGTGAGAGCTTTCTTGACGGCGATGGGATCTTTGGCGTCGCCGTGAATGATCGTAAGGTAGGTGTCTAGGTCTGACGAGCGTACGTGTTTGGCGTTTAGGGAGGCGGTAAGTTTCGAGGGAGTCCGAGCAAGTGCTGTGCAGGTGTAGCCAGCTTGGAGTGCTCGGGCCAGACAATAGCTTGCGCAGTCTCCAGTTGCGCCAAAGAAGGCAATAGTCTTTGGAACGTCAGCCATAGTGTGAGAGATGTGGTACTTCACTGGATCGGTAGCTTCCTGCTAGCTGTGGTCCGTTGCGTGGTTGCTTGAGCAGTCCAAAGGACTTTCGAGAAGACGACGGATATCTATTATCCAACCCTTCGATTCCACCCAGTCCGCGACGTCACCTGAGCAGTCATTGATCTGCAGCCGGTGAATCGCGGACTACCCGACAGTGGCGTCTCCGAATTCCGCACATTGCTGCCGATGAGGCGTAGGCAATAGCGATCTCGTTCGCACACATGGATGCAGTCCTGCCAGCCATTTCAATAGCTTCTTCAAGGGCGGAACCTGCGATGAATGCAACCGGACTCGCTCCTCAACTTGCGTTTCACATTTGTACGCCATCTATCACACACTGTATCTGAATTGAGGATGATAATCGCACAAGTCTTCGAAAGAAGCGTCCGATCCAGGAATATCCCCCCGTCCCATTCCTTCAGCTAGGGTCATTTCGCGCTGGCGATTGGCCCTGCTCATGATGATGTACATGACTACCACGCACAACAGACCCACTACATTGAATCCCAAGATGATGCCATGGCCCAGGTAGAAGTGCGGAGGGTGGGTGTAGATTTGAGTGCTCATGATGCTGCAAAGTTGAGCGAGGATCTGAGCGATGGCCAACGCTGACGCGCGCTTCGTGTATCCAGCGTGGTTCACCACGATGAAGGTGGCGCTGAGTACCAGTCCGGAGTAGGCACCTGAAGCGACAAAGCAGCATCCTGCAACCAAAGCCGTCGGCAACGTTGTACTTAGAAGAATCACATATCCCACAATCGAGACCGATATGCATGCGCAGAGAGGGATCGTGCGACAGTGGACTCGGTCGCTGATAAGTCCTGCCACTGGGGACAAGACCGTGGCGAAGGCGTACGGGATCATGACATACAGCTGCGTGTCAACTGAGGCCGTGTGTAAGCTTGGAGAAGTCATGGGTCAATCGCAGGCATACATACGGGGAGAAAACCCAAAGGCCTTGATGAACGTCGGCAGCAAGTTTCCCAGTACCACGATGTTGAGGACTGATGCAACGATGCCGAAAGCGCCCAAGTAGGTCTTTGGATCTTTTATTGCCCACCATAGCTGCCACCACACGGGTTTTGCATGTGGACTGTTCTGCCCTGTCGCATGGTCATCAGCAACAATACCAGCTTTTCACAAAGCCTACCCGCGTACCTTGCTCCATACGACTCATAATCAAGATCTGTTCAGTCTTACTTCTGAAGAGCCAGTGACCCTTCGTCGGCAGTTTTTCTGGCAGGGTGGGGACACAGAAAGCTGTCAAAATACCCCAAGCAACAGTAGGGACACCCTCAACAATGTAGAGCCACTGCCAGGCTGTGAAGCCAGCCACTCCGTTTAGATTCTTCTCGCAGCCGTATGCGATTAGCCCACTGATCATTCCGGCGAAGGGTGCTAAGCCGTAAAAGATAGCTACTTTCTGGTTAGCTTCTCTTCAACTGTTCGTGGAACGATTTGCTCGCCGTTTCTTGTTCCCATTTCTCCGGGCTTGTACCAAAGCGCCAAGTAGACCAGGCCCGTTTGCAGGTATGCCTCAGCGCAGCCTAGGAGAAGCCTCAAGCCCAAGACGCCTCCATACGAATGGACACTCGAAAGGCATGTCGAGAAAACCCCAAAAGCCATGACGGCACTGCCGTAAGCCCATCCAGGGTGTAAAAAGCGAAGACTCAATGCTGCCGGTAGCTCAAAGACCATGTAGCCCACATCTTGAAACTATGGTCAGAATGGTACTCATATGTGGCGTTTTGATGGGGCATCATCTTACAGAACATCATCAAGGTATTGAAAAACTGCCTGTCAGACAGGCGTAGGTCCTTTTGAAAGCCCATGACCCGAGCATTCCTAATGTTTCCTCGGTCCTGCAAGACAGATCTATCAGCGACGTGGATCAGAGCAGTAGTCTTGAGCTGGCGCGAACCAAGTAAGCCCAGAAGTAGCAACCCGAGAGCACCAGTGTGATGGCGAGGTCTTGCTTGAGCAGAAGTCGTTGCTCTTGTTTCGACCGCTGTTGTAAGGGGCTGGGATCAACAGCATTATGCACGACTTTTGAGTCTTCCCGACTGAGACTTTCAACTTTGTCGATCAGGTCCACCGCAATGTCCTTATTTGCAAGTGTCATGTTGAACTTCGACCGCGACGCAAAGACGATAGTGTCGTCAAATCGAATGCTGAAGTGGACATCGAGAGTGATGCCTTTGGCCCTTCAAGCCCTGGTGATATAGACTCCTGAGGCAAGAGGTCGTCTCCAGAGGCAGCTACCAGCGACGCGGTCCGCTGCATTCGACACAGTACGTCGCGTCGTCCACAGGAGCTCTAAATCGGCCGTCTCAACCGATTCAGCATGCAGCGCAATCCCGTCATTGTTGACGGAGGAATCAGCGATGTTTTCGGAATGCTTCCAGACTCGGACGTCGGAACGAGGTGCTCGGAATCTCGGCCGGAACTGTGAGTGGAGCGTGACCCCATGACAGCTCCATTGCTATATCACTGGCGTCTTGTCCAAACGTGAAGGCCCGGAAGGTCGCGAGATGCTTTGCTCCTGATGATGCAGTGAGTGCAGATTTTCGAACATTTCACCCAGCAAGGCAAGGCTTGTCTCAGGGGAAGACTGCAAGCAGGAACAGACCCCCTGCTAAACCGAACAAGTTCTGTCTCACGCCAAGGCTAGCACTTATTATTCATCACGCAAATGGCTCGAAACCTACTTATGACTGGCAGGCGGGGTTGCTGACTGATCCAATGCTTCCCCGCCCGCAAGATGCAAGAGTGAGTAAAATGAGACCTTACTTTCATCTGGCCCTACGTGAAGTGGCGCACTTTCACCATCGATAAGTTACAATTTCCTCGTCTGTGAGTAGTTCTACTCGCAGAATGTCATCGCGCTCTCCAGCCCCAGAGTCGGGCAACCCCTTGGACGATTCCCAGGGCCGGCGCCGGGTGAGGCAGAATCGCGACTTGTACGTTTCGCACGCCTGGTAAGCGACGTGGGAACTGGTCTGGCCGGACTTGGGCTGAAGTTTTGCCAGTAATGAATGCCGTCGAAAGAAGTTGAGGTGTGACGGGAAAGCACCATGTCACCGTTGCACGATGACTTCGGCCGCCTGTAGCTACGATCGCTCTTCCCGCAAGCGACGTCACGCCGAACACCAGTCTGAAGCATACCTCACTAGATAGCTGGGAATGGAGGCTGATCAAACCTGGGGAGCGCGATGGGGGCTTTCGGATTTGGAACGTCAAATGCACAGATTGAGCGGCCAATGGAAATCAATGGGCGGTGAGGCCTGCCCAACCAATGCACCGAGCGGAGTCCAGGACGAATCCCCTGGTGATCGCTCAGACTCGAAGGCCACCAAGAGCGAAGACCCGCCGGATCAAATTCGTCCTTATCGGGGCGCTACGAGCTCCGATTTCTCATTCCAGGTCGCCTCAGGTGGCTCACAGCCGTTGCGAAGGAGCTCAGGTGAAGGTGCAGGTGGAACACCAAGGGGATTCGAGATCAACACGATCGTCAGCTCTGAGATTCTCGCCGCCTCGAAACCACTCGCGAGACTGGTTTTCAACGATCCCTTACAGGAGATGAAATACAGCGAGGTCATACGCCTAGTATCTGTCTTCAACTCGGGCCCTGGCCTCTTGTATCCAATCGTGGAGACTGTGGAGCTCCTGCAAACAGTCGAACGTGTCTTTCAGCTGCTGCGGGAGTCCGAGAAACCTCAAACCGTGCAGAGACAAATAACTGCTGCAGAGGAGCTGAACAGTACGAAAACATTGACGCTCAAGTTGGTCATCGCCAATGCCCTTACACTGGAGAGCCGCCAAATCAGTCGCCTGGCACAAAGGCACTTTGATAGCGTTCGGGAGTCCCTAGGAAGTTCCTTCTGGAGTTTGCCGAGTCTTGGCGGCATTGTCAATTGGATTTTAGTGGTGAGTCCAGAAGCGTTCGTTGATGGTCAGGTCCACGCATCTGCTGACATCGCGCAGGCACTTCTTCATTTTCACCTCGACGAGGAACTGCAGGCTTCCCGCGTTGCTGCCCACGCTGCGAGACTGTGTCTTGAAATGGGAATTAATCGAAAAGACGCAAATTGCACCTTCAAAACGCCTCAAGATGCTCTCCTAGCCACCAAGGTTGTATGGGCTGTATTCGTGCTCGATAGGAGATCCAGCATTGCCCTAGGCATTCCGTTCGTCGTACAAGACAGTGACCTTAATACAGTTATGGAGACTCCAGTAAGTCCTTTTGGTTGCTCTCCAGCGGCGTGCACTAATGTCATGATGATCAACAGGACCCGGATAGTATTTATCTCGAGACCGTGGTCCGATTGTCGCGCATTGCTGGCGAGGCTTGCCGTCTCGCTAGTCGGATCAGCGATCGCAGTGTCCCGCTGAGCACGGCCGACATCGATTTCCTAGACTACCAGATCTCTCAGTGGCAACTCCGGCTTCCCCCTAATCTGCAGTTCAATCGAGCAGAGCTGCAAAGCGGCCAATTCGATCCGTTTACGAACGAGTCGAGCCTATACATGAGCAGTATCCTCTTCCTTAGGGCGAACCAACTGCGCAACCTCATCCATAGACCGGCCCTATACTCAGCCGATCGCATCACCGCGAATGAGCAATACCCACGCACGGCCATAGACGTAGCCTGCGAAGCTGTCCAAGTCCTCCACGAGCTCAACTCTTCCACCGGTCTCGTTGAACGGCATGCGGTCTTTTTCAAGTATTTTCTGGTATCAGCCTTCTCAAGCCTTCTCTTGGCGATCGCAAAGGCTCCAGTGTCGTATACAGCGACCCGAGTGGGCCTCAACGTGACCCTTCTTGCCCAACTGAAGCAGTCATTCTACAGGGCGCTTGATATGTTCAAGCTCTTTGGCACCCGTGCTCCATCGCTGTTGCATCTTTGGGAATCTGTCAATAGCTTGGAGGCGTGGGCAGTGCAAATGGGCCTACCGAGTCGGGCTGAATCAGGCGATTTGTCCTGGCCAAATGCTGGTGGTTTTGTTCTACCACCCCAGACGTTGGATACGGAGACAAGCAGTAACCCAGCACCGGTCATTAATGGGGCTTGGCTGGAAGGTTGAGCAGATCAATACGATCTCCGCACAGGACCACTGGGTTCGCTCAATCCACAACTTGCAAATGAATTCTGGGCAATCTTAGGTACAGATTTGGACGGAGATCGGGGCTTTCTGAACACATACCTTGGTGCCGAGCCCAGAGCAGTCATGTGAAGGTGAACAAGTTTGTCCGTACTGTCTGACAAGAGGTCTTGGGGTACGTACATCCAGGCAGGCTATCGGTCAGGTCGACTCTCGACTTTAGACTTTCCGGAAAACATCTTAAGCGGCAGTGAGAAGGTGTGCAAGTTTGGCCGTATGTGAAGACATGGACATGTTTCCTGGATTCAGTAGTCTTACATGGACCCCAGTTGACCCCATGGTCCCCGCAAGTATCCCCGCAAAGGTACTGTTCGGTGCTGTGGGCTCTGGAACGCCCTCTCGGAATTACGCAAAGGATTCCGAAACAGCCTTCGTCGCTGGTGGCGAGACATTCCACGGCGAACCGCTGGTACAGGACTTCACGAAAGTCACTTGGGTACGAAGAGCATCGATTATATGGACGAAGATGTCGCTCGTCAGAAATCTGGAGCAAGATTTCTGCGGTGAATGCAGAGATGTTGTTGAGTTTTACTCAGGCTGTGTAAGGGTGGTCCGCCATTCAAATCTTGGGAGGAGCTGCGATTCTTCTGCTCATTTGGCTGTTCGCCCACGAGTACGTGCGATGCAAGTCTCGGATTCCAGGCTTCAAGGGTCCATTTGGTCTCCCAATCCTTGGCAGTCTGAGGGACATCCAGAGAGGCAATGCACCTTGGATCTATCGGCAGTGGTCACACAAGTATGGAGCGGTATATCAGGTTCAACTGGGCAATATCCCCATGCTCATCATCAACACTGCCGACGCTGCAAAAGCTATTTTGACAGGCAACTCGCACGCAACAATCTCGAGGCCAGAGTTCTACACATTTCACAAGGTAAAGAGAATCTCCTCATCAACATAGCCTCGTCTGGATCGTCACGGTCAGGATTCTAACATTGGTGCAGATTGTCTCCGATACCAGTGCAACAACAATAGGCACATCACCCTACTCGGCATCTCTGAAGACCAGGCGAAAGACCCTGGCCACAGCCCTGAACCGACGAGCCGTATCGAGCTACAGCAATCACATCAAAACTGAAACCCTTCTCTTTCTTCGAGAGGCTTTGAAGAATGGCAAAGCTGGGCAGACAAGTATCGATCCAGGTCCACTGTTCCTTCGCATGAACGTCAGCCTTGGCTTCACGCTGCACTGGGGCACTCGTCTACACAAAAAAGGCGACATGTTTCACGAAATCACGCAAGTTGAGGAGGCGATTAGCAACTTTAGAAGCTTGACGAGCAACACGCAAGATTACGTTCCCCTTCTCCGCCTACTCCCCTTCAATCGGACCTCGGCTTTGGCGAGAGAAATGGGGGCACGACGAAAGAAGTACACCACTGTCCTGGATCGCGAGCTGGACATCCAGATAGCTGGCGAGACTAATGAACCCTGCGTCAGGGCGAATGCGAAGCTTGACCCTGACAGTAATCTGACCGCCTTGGAGCTGGAGTCCCTAAATGCGACAATAACCGCTGCCGGCTTGGACACCATGCAAGCCACTGTGTTATGGGGCATTGCAGTGCTCTGCATGAGGACTGATTTGCAGGAAAAGGTTTTTCAAGCCATAATAGAGAGATATGCCGAAAGCGATTTGCTGGACGACGTGCCTGAAGGACAAGACGTCGCATATTTGAGCGCTTTTATTAAAGAACTCCTAAGGTACGTCTCAGCCTCTCACATTCCGACCCGGCGCTGACCACTGACACAGGTGCTACCCGGCAACTCGCCTATCTCTTCCGCGAACAGCGCTCCGAGACTTTGTATATGACGGCAAGGTCGTGCCGAAAGACACTGTGATAGTCCTTAATGCGTGGGCCTGCAATAATGGTATTGACATCCCTTTGCGCTTGTCAGAGAGCCATAAACTGACCAGAGTAGATCCGGAGATTTGGAGTGATCATGACGTTTTCAGGCTTGAGCGATGGCTCGAGCATCCAGACGCCCCAACATTCACGTTTGGCTTGGGCAGCCGCATGTGCATTGGGTCGCATCTCGCGGTCAGAGAACTGTACGTGTTATTCCTTCGCATCCTCAAATTTTTCGAGCTGGAGGCAGGCGGGCCGATGGACATCGATCCTATTACAGGAGTCGCCAATACAGCGGCAACAGTCTCTGGTCCAAAGCCATTGCAAGTTAAGTTTGTCCCAAGGAACAAAGAGGACCTTGAGGTCGCCCTCAATGCGGTGGAGCTATCTCAATAAGACAGCATCGTGGACATGAGAATGAGCTCCTTATCGTGTACTTGGGAAGAATGGCTCAACTACGAAAAGGCAGTGGATGCCTCAGGCCACACATCAGGCTTCATGGCCCGTCTCATCTTTCGAACAGCGTAAATAGCTTACAATACAACACCACTTCTCGCGCTTTTACTACTACACAGTCACATCTCAGGTCTGCTCTTATCTTGAATGCTGCTCTTGAAAGCAATAGATTCTGTTACTTAGCTATGGCCACAACTTCAGGTCCAAAGCCTGCGGAATTCCCAGCACAGCGTCGTCCTCCGTCTACAATATCCAACTGCATCACCCAAAGTCGAAACTCAGAGAGCGATTTCTCAGTGCCATCGCCACTCGGACCTGTGTGCAAAATGCATAGACCTCCCTGATTCCGATGTTAAGCCTTCAGTGCACGACTTCGGAGCTGCAGCTCCGCAGCTTCCGATGGCTTTCCAGTGCCGCACGTGTTCAACATCCATGCTCACCGAGAATTCCGGCTTCGTGGACTCGTTCTCCATCGGAGCGTCTTACCCGCCGGAGTGCATTCTAGATGCAGTGGGAGGGGATTGAAGACCGCAAGATACATGATGCATGTCAAAGAGTTCTCCAACATCCTATATGTCGGAAGGGGCGCGCTCTGTCTCCACAGTGAAACTCTTGGTATCGCAGCAAACACAGCAAGTAGCAGACATGCCGACGACAAAATTCACTACTCCAGAAAAGTACACCTACCTCACAGGCTTTGGAGGTTACCATGAGTGAGTATGCGAAGTGCTGATGTTTTGGAATGTCTGACGACTTGTTAGATCAGAAGCCTTGCCAGGAACGTTGCCAGAGGCTCAAAGTACCCCTCAGAAACCAAGCTACGGACTATATACCGAAAGAATATCTGGAAGCTCGTTCGTTGCTGCACGCAGCGAGAATCGTCATACTTGGCTTTACCGCATTGTCCCTTCAGCTGCTCACGCGCCTTTCGAATGTGAACCGAACAGCCTTCAGCTGCCAGATGAGAAACTGCTGTTCACACCGACGCAGATGCGATGGGATCCCTTCGACGTCAATGAAAAGGCAGATTGGGTTCATTCCATGCAGCTCATAGCCGGTGCTGGCGAACCCTCAACTCGATCAGGGGTTGCGTATCACATCTTTTCAGCTGGTCAGTCGATGGAACCCCGTTCGGTCTATTACTCTGCAGATGGAGACTTGCTTGTCATTCTTCAACAAGGGGTTCTGGACATCCGGACTGAGCTCGGCTATCTGCTTGTCCGACCGAACGAGATCTGTGTCATCCCACGAGGAATACGGTACAATGTTGCCTTGCCAGAAGGGCCCGTTCGAGGATATTCGGTCGAACTACATCAAGGGAGTTTTACCTTGCCTGAACTCGGACCTATTGGAAGCAATGGTCTAGCTAACGCGAGAGACTTTCAAATTCCAAAATCAAGCTTCGATGAGGATACGGATAACGAATATCAGATTTATGTGAAGTTCAACGGTCAGCTTTTCAAGGCATTACAGGACCACAGCCCATTTGACATTGTCGGTTGGCATGGTGCCTACTACCCATACAAATATGATCTTGGCCGGTTTTTGACCTTTGGAAGTGTGTCTTACGATCATCCCGATCCTTCGATATTCACAGTTCTCTCCAGTTCCGAGAAGATTGTCGAGCTCGCAGCCTTCACCCCGAGGTGGCTCACGATGGAAGACACTTTCCGCCCACCATACTATCACCGCAACACAATGTCAGAATATATGGGTTTAATCACCGGAGGATACGACGCTCGTACCAAAGGCTTTCTGCCGGGCGGCGCGACGCTCCACAATGTCATGTCTGCACATGACCCTGACAGTGAAAGTCACCATGCTGCGACTCATGCTGAACTTACTCCGCAGAAGGTTGGAGAGGGAAGCATGGCTTTCATACTGGAGTCTCCCCTGATTCTGGGGCTAAGTCAATGGGCGCTTGAAACAAGTGGCAAGAGGCAGCTTCATTACAATGCCTCGACTTGGCTGCCTCTCAAGCCACGATTTTCGTCGAAGGGGGCAGGCGAGATGAATGGACATCCGATCGAGAAGTAGTTTATCAACGTAAAGAAGCTATTACCCGCAATTGATGGTTTTCCATGCAATACATGAATGCAAATCGAGATCGACACATGATTTCCTGGTGACCATGTATCGGCTAACGAATCTGACCTCGTATGAGCTACCGGTCACGCACTCCGCGATCTTTCAGACTCCCGTCGCGTTGCGCTAGTACATCCGCTTCGGAAAGTCACACTGGATTCCGCGCCGAGGATGCTTTCGGAATTGCAGCCTTGCTTATGTACCTCTCCTCATCCACCAGTCCGCGAGCGGCGAGAGTGTGTATTTCACGCCCTCAAATTCCTTGCAAGCCCTTGTCCGTGGCGATCATTGTAAATACAGAGCCAGAGAGAGAGAGCTGACATCAAACAGCACGTTCATCTTGCAATGAATGACCATACGCGGCTGAAAGTCCTTGTCGTAGGAAGCGAGCTAGAGGCTTTGATAACAGCCGCAGCGTTGCAAAAACATGGCCATATCGTGCATCTTTTTGCCGAAGATGTCTGCAATGCCAGAGGACACAGTGGCATAGTTCATGTCACTCCAAATGCCCAAGAAGTACTGCAAAGGCTTGGCATCTGCATTGATGCAGACATAACAACCCCTATTGCTGAGGTTGAGGAGCGTTCGTCTTGCCAAAAAATTTCAATGGTTGATGAAGCGCAAATCTGGATAAGAGTGTGTTTCTCAAACTTTCTTCGGAAGGGATGTGTACATGCTAACGAATTGGCAGCCTTGGGTACTGGTTCAGGAAACCCAACTCAGAAGAATATTGCTAGCTCAGATCTCAACGGAGACAGAGTCAATGGTGAAAGTGGAGATCAACACAGCGGAGATTCGAGAACTCAACCTTGAGGAAACGACACTTACCACGAACAACGGAATTCTAATAAGTGGCGATGTCATAATCGGGGCTGACGGCACTCGCTCCCCTGTGAGAATTAAATCCGGCGAACGCTTCGACGACGAAAACGCCACTGCTGTATGCATTGCCCAGGCACGCATCGACAAAGATCAATTCAATCTTCACATCGACCCTCAACAATCTAGGGGATCTTCGCAGATAGTCATTGGCTCAGACTGCAATGGATCGCGACTTGTCGCTGTCACGGCACCGGATAGCTCGTGCTACGATCTGGTATCGCTTCGTGGAGCCGAAGTGGTTGGAAACGTCGGTTTTGACCTGCCCGAGCGCTCAAAACGCACAGAAGCGTCGGAACAACGGACGGACATTATGGACATGGCTGGGTCAAGCGTAAAGCGTGAACAACTCTCAAGGACCATCCCCCTTTTCACCCATACAGGAACATCCTGGGCACTTGTCGGAGGAGCTTCCTGTCCTATTGTACCGCTTCTAGGCCTTGATACTAGTCACGCAATCGAGGATGCGGCCGCCCTCGCAGTCGTTTTGTCGGACCTGGATTCACGGAATGACATACCGGATCGACTGCAACTGTACGGCAGCATACGACAAGATCGAGTAACCGAGATGCAAGAGTTCTCATTCGACTTTTCCCTTGGAATGACACCAAGCGACGTCGGGATAAAGCCGTACCTGTCAAAGTTCTTCTCGCACAACGAGTACGACCATACGGTCCAGCGTTTGAGGTCGTACAAATGGTCACTCAGGCCAGATCTTTACTGGCGCATGCCGGTTGATTTCGGGCCCTTGCCAGGCCCTCGACAACGTCACAACGGAGACGGTTTCACAGCTCAGCACTCGTCGTTCAGGTCCGCCATTGTTCGTTTCAAAACAGAGCGGTCATTGCTTCCAAATCTTCTACCACTCGATCGAAGGAACTTTCGTTTTGGGACTGCGGGCACAGTCGCATACGCTTCCTTTATGCAGCATACCTTTTCGAATCTGGATTGGCTCGGCGGAGGTGGATACCATTTGTTGGGATTCTACATTCATGGTGTGGAACATGTCAGTTCCAGTGGCGAGGTCCTCACGGGCACATATATTCCGGTTTTGTTCGAGTCCCTGGCTGATCCAATCTTGTCTGGCAGAGAGGAGCTTGGCATGGCGAAACTTTTCGCATCCATCGATGTACACAGACGGGCAGAAAGCCTCAGCGCCAACGCCAGCTGGCAAGGGGCAGTCTGGGGAAACTTCGCCTGGACGGGACTCAAGGAGCTTGACCTGCCTGAGGAGGCACCAAGTGCGGCAAAAGCTGAAGACGGTGTGCTTTGCTATAAAGTTATGCCTCGCGTGGGAAAGAGGTCAGATGAGCCAGCTCAGCCACCTGATGCCGATTATCCGGTACTCATACCCTCGGTCGACAAGTCGTGCAAACCCATCATCGATAGGATGTGGAAAGCAAGAGATGCTACTGTTCATCTTGACAAGTTGGACTGGCAAGCTCTGCCAACAATGCATCACATCATTGAAAGACTGCAAGAGCTGCCTATTCTAGAAGTTGTTGATGCTCGAGTCCTTGAAGGACGCGGTGTATCCAGTGCTCCTCTAACGCGAGTCATCGATTAATGAGAAGAAGATTGAAGGCAAAGACTTCACTATAACAATCTTGCTCCAGCCCCCGTCCAATCTATCGCCATCATTTCGAAGCTTTACCAGTCTCTTCGTCTATTGTTTGCTCTCAGCATACTTTGTAGCCCTCTCTATTACCACCGCTAGAAATGAGGACTGGTCAAGAAACTCTTCCACCCTCTTGATCCTCTTCCCTTCCTCATCCATTTCCATCAGCCACATGAAATCTGTCGTCAGTCCATGATCTGGTCCCTCGTTGCCCACAGCTAGTAGATCGTACTTGGCGGTGAGCCTTATGACAGTCGTTCTGGTCCTGACATCGATCACGGCATCTTTAAGGTCCAGCTCAAAGCTTTCAAGCACTGGGCCGAGGAATTTCAAAGATTGGATATGATGGTCCTTGTCGATCGCCACTCGGAAATCTTGAGGAATCGCCTCGACGGGATGGATGTAGTGTAGGCAGTCATCTGTACGGGTTGCCCAGATCTGGTCCGGATTCCATGGTTCGGGGCTCGAGTATGCGGCCACCACCGCGTCAACCGTTCGCCGGAGAGCTGCGTAAAGATCTTGAGACATTGCTGCTAGTGTAGTCGTAGTACGAGAGGGTAAGTTTCGCATGGAAGAACAACCCAAGGTCCATATGTCCGTAGGAGCACGCGTACGTGCTTACAATGCGTTGCGCTTGATAGATAATGCGTAAGCAGCGCGCATCAATTGACATTCACAGCACGCCGGAATAGAGACTACGATTCCAGAGACGACATGACATGGATCAGCTCCATCGAGCGCACTCTGTCCCGTTGGATCGTATAGAAAACGAAACATTTGACCAGATACATGGGAGAAGTTGGCATCAGAATCTTCATCATAGTAGGACCATCGAACGAGAGGTCTTCTTCGGTGGACGTAAACGCACTATCGATAGCTACATTTCACAAGATCAAGAGCCCCAATCGCCGTTCTCTTTCAGGCTTGACCGTCTGCCACTCGCCATTCGCTCGAGCTCAGACTCGAGATTCCAGGGCTTGTAAACATGTCCTGGTGGGAGGTTTGTGTTCTCAAATGCACCCCCATTCTTGAGGGAGTCCAAGCATTTTTCGTAGTTGTCTCTTGCGTACAACTCTGCGTTGTGACCCCATGCCCATTTACCTTGACGGTAGTGACCGACTTCGCCTCTCTCTTCGCCTTTTAGAATAGCTTCAGGATTGACGTGGTGCATCTCTTCGCGATTGACAAATCTGTTGTACCTTGATTTAGTGTACTAGCTGTCACTTTTACGTTTGCAATGCTTACCCAGTTCTCTGAAGAATCGAAGTGCGTTGGAATCTACACAGAAAGTCATTAAAGGACGGGTTTTCGTAAATCATCGGGGTCAGGTTTCGTACCTTAACTTGTTGTGCACTTTTGTGGCCCAGCCTATGTCCTTTTGACCCAGACGAAGACATTCGCCCAGCGAGAGGCCATCCTCAAGGGCCTGGACTACACCGTTCGCGGATGTTGGGAAAAAGGAGTGAGCAGCATCTCCAAGTGCAATAATACGGCCGTGTTCCGACGTCCACCGTTCCGATCCATCGCGCCACATGAGTCGCCAGTCCACTGTCCGCTCTGGCGTTTGGTGAAGGACATCGAGAGCTTCCGGATCGAACTCTGGGTGGACTTCAGACAATTTCTGAACCAGATAATCGGGCTCTTTGAGGTTGTGCCACGACTCCTTCGAGCTATCTGTTGCTCTATGTGTCAAAGCCGGCGATATATAGCCGTCGCATACCATGATACTCTGGAGTGACGCATTAGCCGAAAACGATTTAGAACAAGGGAGATGGAGTGGAGTGGATTTCTTCTCACATACCATATGGACTTCGTGACCACAGTAGGTACGGAATTGGGTTCCATCTTTGACGACGTTCTCTGCTAAGGAGCCTGGCTTGATTGCGTCCACGGGGAACGCAACACGCGAAATCGCATATCCACTGTCGCCGACATTGACTGTGTCCTTCCGACTTCGATAGAAACCAGAGTGCACTCCTAGCATAAGTTAGCGTCAAGTTCAACAGCATACAAGAGAAGCTAAAAAATCCCCACCATCTGCTGCAATGCAAACATCTGCAGTGTACTTTTCGCCGGCCTTTGTGGTTACTATAGCAGCGGAGCCGTCTTCCTTCTCTTCCGCGTGGACGACGTCTGCACCAAAGTGTATTGGAATGCCGAGTCGAGTCAGCTGGTCCACTTGCATAGTTGTGAACACTGGCCTCCGAATAGCAAAGCACATGTCTATGTCTGGAGCAGCATGTGGAGCACCAGGAAGTGCCCATTCCCACTCGCCCTCCCAAAGCTTGGTACCGTCTGGTCCTAGAGTCTTCAGTTTGCCCTTGGACGAGTGCTTCTCGTAATCGGCCTTCATGGTCGGATAGTACTTCAGAGTCGCGACGCCCGGTGGACTGACGGCGAAGAAGTCGCCGAGAGGCGAAATGCGGTCCTGCTTCTCCAGTAGCTCAACATCAAACCCCTTGCGCCAACACTCCAATGCTGCCTGGAGACCTCCATTTCCTGCGCCTACGACTAGCACTTTCTTGCCCGTGGCAGGGTACCTTTCAACGCCGTCAACGATTTCGGACATGGTCACTGAGCTTTGATTAGGCTTGCTGCAACGAAAAACACTTGAACCTATTGGTTGCGTAAAGAGATCAGAGGTTAAGAAACAGGCGTGATTGAGCTGCACAATGGAAACTGCAACTGCAACATATATATTCCCTGCGATTAGATGGCCAGCTCGTTCTCGAGATCCCGCTGTTGCCTTGCGCTTTACTGCGGTCTCCATCCATCATGGTACGTCACGTACGTGTGGCCTGCCGCCCGTATCCGACAGTATATTGATGCACCGAGTGTCGGTGTATCAAGCAATGATGTATGCAAGGTCGGAATTCAATCGGAAACTGATTCCGCCTCGACGCTCGGAACGGAAGAACTCACTAACATCGAGACGCTGCCACTGAAACGCTTGTCGTTCATGATGGGGTGCCGATACTCCGATCGCAGTCGCCGAAAGCAAGAAGATTGGATTAGGGGTCCCTGTTTGGAAGAGCCTACCTCCGGTCCTTGCTGCCTCAGGCTTGATGTCAGGCTTGAGAGGGCTTTCGGCTTTGCCTAAAGTAGTAACCCAGCCCCTTTTGCTGCTAGCGCCTGACTTGGGAGGTAGGTAAGAGCAAAAGCGTTGCTACAGTGAGTATCGTACCTCTTGCAGAAATATTCCTGCGAGCTTGTTCAAAATGAAAGCAAGGGGCAACGCACCGTCACTACCTCACCGAGACTCGCTCTTGCAGCCAGCAAGAGAGTTCAACACATGACACGTTCATGTTACCATCCTTTCCTTAGACATGCGTCATGCAACGCGAGAGACGGACTTATGATATAAGATTTGACATCTTGTCGTTCTCCAAAAAATTTGGGTGCAGCAATTGCGGAGATATGTAACAAGCTTCAGCCGTGTTTGCGGATTCTCATCCTTTTTAGCGGAGGTTGTACGGAATTTACCTCCGTAAAATGAAGCACGATGCGCCTGGGGTATATCTATTGGCGTGAATATCGTATTATCAGCATCCATAAGTCTTCAAGTTTTTGGGCATTCAGGGCACTCAGTTAGTGCCAAAGCTACTCGTCTCTCTCTCGGCTTTTTGTGCCTTTTCTAAGCCTTTTGCTTGCAAGAAGTTCCTGTTTCCATTAACACAACATGGCCCCATACCCGACCGAAAGCGAAATCAAGCAGTTGATGCGGCACTTGTCTACGGATGATTTCCAGCCGTTTTACGACCGTGTAGCACATGATGTGACTTGGGATGTCCCTGGTACGCTCGCAGCCAGTGCGCGCCATATTTGCAGCATAGGCGCAGTTGGCTCTGCTTGGCGTTTCAGATGGCTGACTTTTTCACCAGGGTCATCTAGCGGGTCAGGCCACTTCACTTCACTTGGTAGCAAGCCGTAGTTGCACTGCTTGATCAGCGAGCTAACAATTGCTAAGATCAATGGAGGAAGATCGCCTTGGGAGGGACAAATGAGGCGCTTGCATCTCCGCTGAAGTTCAAGCTCGTACATGTCATTGGTGGTGGAGATCAAGCTTGGGCTGCCGTTGAGATGGAGGCTCTTGACGCCGTTAGCAAGACTGGTAAGGCCGGTTGCATGTACATGATATGCAAACGGATGGCACTAATCACTTGTAGGCACGCCATATCCTCAGAAGTACTGTTGGATCATGCGCTTCAATGAGCAAGGCATTGTTGTGCAAGTAAGAACATCCAGCAAAGAATACTAAAAATAATAAGGCTAACTGTACTAGGTACGAGTCTACGCTGATACGCAGCTCTCGCAGAGTATGATTGAGGCTAGTAGGTAGTAAGAGGAGTTTACTAGGGTAGAGGACCGTTGAAACAGTATGGATTTGTGTACAGGCATCCTGCGGCGACTCGTCTCGCTTTAGCCATCCCACCTCTGTTCCAGCGTATTGTCCCAGGAACATGCGCTGAGTAGATACCATAGCAGTGATTGTTGTAAAGCCTGACGTATTCATTGCAGTCAAGCACGAAGACCATCGGACCCGAGACAAGTGAGGCGTAGCCGAACAGGGAAGGCCTCAAAGCATGTTGAGGTGGATCTCGTAACGGATTGAAATGGGTCATGGGATGTTCGAATTGTAGGCGAATTATAAGGGGGGAAATATCTAGGAGTATTAGTAGTCGAATTTTAGCTCTAGGTTAGGCAATTTTCGAGGGCGCCGTTTCTCTAAGTATACGTATCCTATACGTCTCGTATATATGTTGTATAGGAGGCTAGTAAGAAGGTAGAGCTAAACTCTAGGATTTAGAGGAAGTCCTAGCTCCTTGCTTTTTAGGCAATTATATAAAAGCCGGGTGTTACGGTTCTAACGCGCTAGGAACCGTGCACGACTTAGTAACTAAGTACTACGTAACTTAGCCGCCTCGACCGCTTAGTCGAGGCTTACGCTCTAACTAAGTAGTAGAGTAAATAGAGTAACTAAGTATACTAAGTACATAGATTAGGACGAATCTCCTTAGTATATAGGAACGATATTACGCTTGTTACAATAGCGTTTAACTTACTATTTAATCTTACTATTTAGTTTATAATTATACCCGAACCTCTATCTTAAAATTATCTTAGTAGTCTACCGACTCTCTCCCTTTAACGAGCTCTAACTAAGGACTTAAGCTTAGTATCTATACTAAGTAAGATTCTAGGATTAGTAAACCGATCCTAATACTATATTAGAGGTATATATTTAATTAAGAATCTTCGTTCTCTAGTAAATAGAGGTAATAGCCTAGTTTATTAAATAGTATAGTCTAGATAGGCAGGCTAGAATAGATACCTAAAGTATAAATACTAAGAGTTACGTAACTAAGAGGAGCTTATCTTACTTTAGTTCTTCTACTTCCTATAACTAACTAATATAATTATAACTAAGTTAGTTCCTACTATTATTTATTAATTTAGTTACTTCTACTATATTTAACACCTATATAAACCCTATAGAGTAGTCTTAGCTTAATAGGTTATAAGCCTAGGTTAGTAGTCTAACTACTTTAAGGATTCTAGTAGTATAGGTTATTCCTACATCTATTAGACTTTAAAAGAGAAGTAGAAAAGGAAGGTAATATAAGTTAAAGCCCTATATATTATATCCCTAGAAGATAAGGATATATTTTAGCCCTAGAAGGACTTATTAAGATTATAAGGATTATAACTAATACCTAAGGTTATAGGCTCTTCTAAGAAGGTCCTAGTTTAGAGAAAGTATTATTAGAAGGA